AGCGTTTTATTTAGGTTTGGCTCTACCTTAACCTAAAAAAACCGGTTTTCCTAAAGAGCAAAATCAAATAGGTTTTGAATCAATTTACCGTTTTTAAAGGGCTTCATTTCGCTCTTTCTGACGGCATCGATAGTAAATAACTTGACTATCTAGACGCTAGCAAACGTGTCAATAAATACACCAATCTCTCTGCATTAACAAGTTGTGACTTGATTAGTTCAAAGAAAACAAACTTCAAGCGATGCCGACGCGTGCACGTGTCGCTCTGGATTAAACCGGTTTATTAAGGTTTTAGGTACCGTTTGCATTTCGGACGCGCTCCGAACGAAACTTTTACTAAAACCGGTATTAACCTTTATTTACCGGTATTTTCGAAACCGGTTTCAAGCCCTGCCAGCTAGTCGTATATAAAACTATGCAGTATTAGCATAGCGTAAAAGGAACAGACTACGCTTGTCTCCTCGCTTATTCAAATTTCTGTGTATTTTATATATATGTAATCCCAATTCCCAAGTTAATGATTTGTTGAATCAAAAAAATGGGTGCGTGTACTTATGTAGGCGCGTGAGAAGTTATCCTTCTTTGGCATCGTTTAAAATTGGTTTTTAATTGCATGCAAATAATTAATTACAATAAATTAATAAAAAGTCTGGAAAAGGACACAGTCAATAAAGTTCAGTTTTAATTTGAAAAAATAAATAAATAATCAAAATATTCAATTAAAATCGCTACTGAATATAATTTATTAGAACATATGTGATTTGCACTTGTATGAAACTCAAACACGTATTCCGAATATACAAACTAGAAACATGTGGATAAATATTATAAATATGAATAGCTATAACTGTTACTTTATTACAAAAAATAAAGAATGTGGTTTTTGGTTCTACTACACCAATGGTCAAGAGATGGCGCTGTAGTCTCCTGAATCGCGCTTTGGTTCCGTTGTTCCAGATTAATAAATACTTTTGATAGGCCTTCACAATGCAGTCGTTAGCACCCACTAAATAGAGATTCTATTTCTATTTTGTTGGTAGATTTTCTTAATGTGCGGTAAACACAAAAGTAACAGCATGAAGTTGGTCGCTAAAGCGACCAACTTCATGCTGTTAATTTTTGTGTTACAGTGATGCGCGCGCATCTTAAAATTTCACTCTCATCATTTTTTCATAACGCGCCTAAAGAAGTATAACTTCAAAAATAAGCTTGGTTTTCTTTATAATCCTACTAATATTATAAATGTGAAAGTTTGTATGTTTGTTCGGATTTGGATGAAATTTAGCACATATAAAGTTTATTACCTAGTTTGAGACAAAAGATACTTTGATACCGACAAAAGGTTAGGTTCTTTAGTGCTTCTCAAAAAACTATAGTTAACGCGGACAAAGTCGCGGGCGGTGCTAATATAAAAAATTACACAATAATACTCGTGCATTGTTGCTGTTTTTAGGGCTCCGTAGTCCTGACTAGAAACCATTATAGTTTCGCCATGTCCATCTGTCCGTCCCCGGTTTTGTTTGGAGAATATTAACACTTGAAAGCTGTAATGTATATCGATCACGGATTATTCACGGATCACGGATAGTGGAGATATGTATATCGATCACGCCGTTTTTAGTGAGGTTTTTAGTGACATGTAACCTGGGGATGTTTTTTTTTCATCATCTACCCCATCGTGTATAATATTGTTGAATAGGTCCTTTAAAAATATTGAGGATTTCTTAAGGGATCTGTTTGCGAAGTATTGAACTTTAAAGTACTAATTTTTGTTCGAGTAGCCTCCCCCCCCCCCCCCCCTTCTAAAAGCAAAACTATTGGAAAATATAACTAGAAAAAATTCCACGCGAACCAGGCAGCAGACGGGACTCGAACCCGCATCCTTCGCAATCCGGGCGAATGCACTGACCAATTATGCTACCGCGGCCCTCGCGGACCGCGTCGAAATTCCTCTAGCCATTGTTAAGCTGCAAGGCAGCGCCATCTCTTCGCATTATAGGTAACCCACAGTATATTTGTAAAACAGTTACATGCTTTAAAAAAATATAAATTATAACCAAAACTATTGGCTTGAAAATCTTGGAAAAATTAATTATAATAGTATTTTCCATGAAATTTTAAGGAAAACTATAACGGTCAAGAAAGATTTGTTAGTTTAAAAGTAATAGTCGTTCAAGTTTGGTTAAAGAAAATCTCTTACCTATTGAAAGTTCCTTAGAAGATAACATTAATAGTGACATAGATGTAATTTCAACTGCATAGATGCCCTGATTTATTGATTTATGACGTTTCGCATTATTTTCAGGCTGTGTCGTCATAATTATGAATTTATTTGAAAAAACCATTATTACTATTACTATTGAAACTTGTTTTATTTAATGAATGGTTTGCGTGAAAACCTAAGACACATTAATATAAGAGACACATAAGTAGATGAAGTTATTGTAGCATAAAACTTTGTATTGCAAGAAAATCTAAAAAAAAAACTATTTTTAAACCCACAATGGAATATCATTGGTTCTATTTACAACGCTATCACAAGTACCAACGGCAACGGCTTCTGAATCGCGCTAACGTTACGTTTTTATAAAAAGTATATAAGCATTTGACAAGATCGGCGGTAATACCGCATCATCTACTTCTCAGGGGATGATCGCTTCAGATGAAGCTTTTAAGGCCCTTCTTGCCATAAGCATGAACTACGGGTGTGTTAGTCAGTAAAAGTCTGACATAAACTTGCAGCCGGCTGTAAGGTATCCATGAGAATTTCACACCCGCTCCCCCGCCTGGGAGGAAAAAAAAATCAGCGGTTATCATTATTTATCGTATTTAGCGGTGGGTCGTTCTCAAATTTTCTGACGACAAAACGCAACCGTGTTTTCTTAAACGAACTACTAGTCCTTGAAACTGGTTTTGGTTACGGCCGGGTGACGCGACGAAACGAGACGCGACTGTCGAACGAATGTAACGCAACGAAACTGAACTAAATGAAATCTTGTTAACGTTCGTTTCGTTGCTGCGAACGAGACGACGAAACATCGAAATAAGTGTTGTGTTATACGAAAATGTTCAATAATAAAGATTATATTATTGTAAAATCAAAGCTTAATTATCATAGAACGAAACGGCCTCATATCATTGCATTCTATTATAGACTGTATTTACTTCGTCATAAAGTTTATATTGGCATGCAGACAATCCGTGGACTAGTTGTTCGACAAAGACTGTTTTGATCCGAAACGTAAAACGGTTCTATCGTCGCGGAACAGAAAACGGTCCTTGAAACCGGTTCGTCTTTAGAACGCTCACACACACCTATTAGTCAGTAAAAGTCTGACATAAACTTGCAGCCGGCTGTAAGGTATCCATAAGAATTTCACACCCGTTCCCCCGCTTGGGAGGAAACAAAAAAAAAATCGGCGGTTATCATTCGTATTTAAAAAAATAATAATATCGAATTGATTTTGAGTTTGAGAGGCAGTTTGACTTCGATTTAGGTATTTTAGATTGATATTCATTGGTTTTTCTAATTTCCGTTATAAAAAATGAAGACCCCCGCTGAAAGATATTGTGGTAGGTAACTACAGGCAACTACGAAACCCTACACTGCGCGTGGCATGACACGCACTTGGCCGGTTTTTAATTTCTTGTTGCATCAAACATAACCTTTCTATCCAATACTTCTCTCTAGATAATATGTTTAAAGGTATTAAAACCTAACAATAAAACAACATTTTAACCATCCAACAATTTATACAGCCCATTCTATACTACTAACCCACATAATCAGTCACCTTCATCGCATTAACAAATCAAAATGGCTGAAGTACCGTCGCCGAGGAACGCATTCAAACTCTCAAACGCATAAAGTTATTCATTGTTACATTTATCTTGGCTCTAAAGCGCTAGGACGTCGTCGTCACGTACACTATGCTCGTTATTTTCCCGCCCACCTGCTCGTATTTTGGCCCAATTCACGAGAAAAAGCGAATTTGTGTCTAGCTTTTACAGCAATGTTGTAGGAGAATACCGTGAGGCTTGCCCTGGTGCGAGAGTTGAACCATCTTGACGAAACTGTTTTGTTGTGATTGGCGTCTCACATGTGACCAATAAACGAATTTACGTTTTGTTAGCGCTACAATTAAATGCAATTTTGAAATATGATTCATTTCTCCCATCTCGGCAAGTCTCCCGGTTTCCCCCTTATTTATGCTATGAACGGGATTGCTATCATGTCAAAAATAAAGTAACTACTTGGTAGCAAGTCCGTTAATATATTTTTATATTACTATAATATTAGTGACCACGAAAGTTTAAAACAATATAGCTTTTACAATGCTTATTTGCAATCTAGGAACTTATTTTTATGAATAGTTGAGGTAACTGCGAGTAAATTTATTTGTATAATATATCCTTATCTAAGCTTTTATTTGTTTATCAGATTTCGTGAATCAAACTAAAGACACCATTTGCATTATGTGACCAACATACTAATTTATAAATATCACAATTACAAAAACTGATTGCAAAATTTAGATATCTGTAGTTAAAGATTTATAATTAGATTTTTTCTGGCATTCATAATTTTAATAAATATTTATTGCATCCATTATATTCATGAGACACATGAATAGATTTTTTTATACAGATTTTATGTAAATCATTAAGTTACGTTCGGATACCCCTATTAACTACTATTAAAGCGCTACCTCTTATGCTTTGAAACCTTTCATAAGGTAAAACAGATTTGTGGTCTGCAACGTTAAGCATTTTCTGTTGAGATACTTCGTTACTGTCTGGATTTACTCTTAAGAATACCTTATCGCGTCTTAGCTTTGTAAACCAGAAAGATACAAGATTACTTTAAATTATTTGCCACAATCTTCTGGTTGCCTAGTAGAAAATGCAGAACGGCGCTCAGCCTGCCATTTGTATTTTATGTGAAATGTAGTTTAGAAAGAATAACCATTGATTTTTAAAAGAATTTTCTTTTGTTTCAGAAAACAAATGCGTCCGGTGCGTGACGAACAGGAATGCCTAAAAATTAGGAAATGACAAACGCTACAACAAAATGGCTGAACAATATTGGAAAAAATGGATGAGACTCACGTTTATACCATTCGTTCTCCTAACAACTACTTTTGCCGATTTCACCACAGAATGCCAAAGGCCTTGTGATTGCCGCTGGCAGTCGGGAAACAAAGCGGCTATTTGCTCAAATTCAAGTTTAAAAATAATTCCAGCAAATTTAAGTAGTGATATACAAATATTAGACTTATCAAATAACAATTTACAACAATTACATCAAGAAGCTTTCAAAAAAGTAGGACTTAGTAATCTTAAAAAGCTATTTCTTAAAGAGTGCAATATAGAATTGGTTCATAAATCAGCCTTCATAACACTAGCAATAATGATCGAACTAGATTTATCTAAAAACAGAATACGGCATCTACACGCGGATACGTTCAAAGGCACTGAGAAGTTGAGATTAATAAACTTGAGTAATAACTTTATTGATAAGTTAGAAGACGGCACATTCCGTAACTTGAAATATCTACAGAAGGTGGAAGTAAGTAATAACAGGATAGTGCGGATTGGTACTAAAGCTTTCCAAAACTTGCCCCAGTTGAAAATTCTCAGGTTTGACGGGAACAATCTGAACCATATGAAGCCCGAAACTTTGATGGGGCTGAGAAATTTATCCGGCTTGGATTTACACAACAACCCATGGCGTTGCGATTGTAACCTGCAAACGTTCAGGGATTGGGTCATCAGTCATAATTTGTACACGCCACCGACTTCGTGCGCGGAACCGACCACCATCCGGGACAAACTTTGGAATGAATTAGACTCGTCCAACTTCGCTTGCCGGCCTACTATACTCGAACCTCTACCAGACGCAACGGTGAAAAGTTACGAGGAGAACGTGACTTTGAGTTGCAAAGTTGTTGGGAATCCAACACCTGAGGTAGTGTGGCGATTTAACGGAAAAACGATCGAGCCGAGAGCATTCGGTGAAATAAGATACGTCATCACTGAGAATACTGTAGATTTAATACGCTGGGTGAACCTAACGATACTTCATGCCAGATATGGTGATAGAGGCAATTACACTTGTATATCTGAAAACCCTGGTGGTCGCGATGAAAAGACGTTAATACTAGTATTGTCTAAATATTCCGGAGTCGGAACGATAGCAGGAATGGATGCAGATTCCTTTGCCATACTAGTTGGTTGTCTTGTAGCTATAGTGATAATTTTTGGAGCAGCGCTGATAGTCTATTATCATACGACACAAAATAACGAAATAAAAAGACTGATTAAAACAGATACTCGTTCTTCAAATGGCGAGGCTTTAATTGACGGTTTAGTGGCGTCTGAAATAGAGAATGGTTTTAAGGCCGAGGTAAATCCTATAATGAAGCCTCCAAGGAAAAGCGATGCCACACCGTCCGTTCCCAATAAGGCGACTGAGGTGTCAGAACTGAATAAAACATTATTAGATAACGACCCCATATTAGGTAAGTTTATGTTTGTTTCGGATACCATAATTTCACTTAGATATAAAATCATTAGTGTGTGCCCACGACTTTGTTTGCCCACGCAAACAAAGTCGTGGGCACACACTAATGATATATTGATTTTCCTTAAAGAGTTTGAGATTGAGAAGATTAAAACTGCTATGTCCTTTCCCGTGGCTAAAACTATCTCATAAATATCTACCAGATTTCATCTAAATATGTTCAGCTGTTTAAGCATAAAGAGATAACAGATAGACAGAGAGGAAAGCCAGACAGATACAGCTTCTCATTTATAATATCAGTACCTATGGTTAGGTATCTTTTGCATTAAAGGTAATCAAAATCTCCCAGTAGGTACGTTTTTCCTAGAAAATATAATTACTTCCCATTAACGCTGACATGAGTTGAGAGTTGATGAGTTTAAAGAATTAAATATGTATATTAATATGAGTTCTGAGAATCTTAGGTACTTATTATAATAATCTACTAGTATTATAAATATGAAAGTTTGTATGTTTTGCACTGAATCATGCAAAAATGAATAAACGGTTGACGAAATTATGCACACATACAGTTTATTACCTGGTTCGAGACACAGGATACTTTTGTCCCATATTTTTTGGTTTTCTGAGGTCTTCACTACATAGTATAAAGCACAGTCGCTTTCCGCTGTCTGTCCCTATGTATGCTTAGATCTTTAAAACTACGCAACGGATTTTGAAGCGGTTTTTTTATTAGATAGAGTGATTCAAGAGGAAGGTTTAAATGTATAATACATGCATAATATAGTAGAGAAACACTGATAATTTTAGAGGTTTTTAATGTAAGGTCGTAAATAAACACATTTTTTTTCGCTTACATTGCAAACGCTGGCTGAACCCTAGGAGATAGATCAAAATAATGTACTACAATACTGTACACCTTAAAAAGGTCTACACGATAACCATTTTTATTCGATACTTTTTACAAGAAATAATAGCTTATTTATGAAGCGATTTTCAGCAATATAACATTCATCCTTAACAAATAAAGTATATTAAATACACTGTGTATTTAGCCCTTTAAAGCATGTAATTTAAATGAATATTTTTGAAGATATTACAGATTTTAAAATGCAGGGACATAGCGGTTCCGACGCTAACGAGCGGGGGGGCTGGCGGCGCGTGCCTATTGTAATTAGGTATAAGAATGTCATTGTGTATAATACAAGCCTGAGAACAAAAAACTATAATCTACACTTAAGCTCTACACCGAAGCGTAGCGAGGGCGGGCCACTAGTTAAAAATAAACTAGAGTTAACGCGGATGAAGTCACCGACCGCTAGCATTTAATGAGAAATACTTTGGTTCTCCAATAATTCACAAAATAAATCATGTTAGTGCTAATTGTAATTATCGTCTGCATCAGAATATTCCCATTGCTAAAGCATAGGTTTTTCCTGTGGATGACATATGGTGAACGGATCACGGTGCGAATAAGTAGTCAAACTAACTAACGAAGAAACTCGAGATAGTAACGTTTTGGTTTACCCATGCTATAGCAGTTCGTACTGCAAAAGATGCTTTGTGATACAAATTTGACTATGGGTGAAACAACGTGGCTTTTGAGCTTAAACGCACTGGAGTTTAACCTTGTAGGCAGTTAACCGCCTTCCAAATTCCAGCAGCTCTTAATAATAATTAATATCAAATTCTACATAAAATCTTGGAACATAGTACAGAGATGCCTCATTGCTCACTTAACGTTAAAGAAAATTAAATGTCATTTAGGTTTAACTTCATTACACGTTAATTTCCGTCCTCTTCATCAGTCGCTACTGAATCAAAGTTTGTTTTGAAACTCTGCCTAATTCGGAGGCCAACGATTTGGTTCGACTTACATTTGTGCAGTCATAGTAACTGAATTATAATATGTTAGTTAACAAAATATACAATTCGAACTTACTACTGACTAAAGATAACTAAAAACTGCATTTTAGGGTTATTTTTTTCCCGCACATCCAAATTAAATAAAATGCAAGATTTACGATCACGTAGCCTTCATAGCATTTGTTAATTCATTAATTTCAATAATTATTCTTAATAATGTAAAATTAAATGAACCGCGACTTATATCCATTCCAAATGTGTTTTTATTATACATTACACACAAAATCATCAATCACATTGTTAAGTCAGAAGAAACTGGTTATCGGTAATGAAAAACACGTTCATGTTAATAATAAGAAACATAAAATTTATATTTGGGTTTATTTTATCATAAATGGATGTATTTTTTCAAAATTCTTCTATGTAAGTGGTCCTTTTAATTAGGTACTTTTATTTTTTTTACTTTTTAAGAAATTATGAAATACTGGTGGTATTTCATAAAAGTTCAAAGCCCGCGACATCGTCTGCGTAGAAAAATGTAAAGATTGATTTCTGGGATAAAAACTACCCTATAACAGAATTTCATCTAAATGGTTTAAGTGCTTTAAGCGTGAAGAGGTAACACACTGACACACTTTCACATTTTTGGAGAGTATGGATTTTCGTATACGTATTCCACTATGCAAATAGTAACAATATTTTAACTGATGGATCGTATTAATTATTTTATAAAGCCCATTATAAAGCCAATTATTTAATGTAAGAATTCTTATTGATGTTCTGGAATATAAAAGAAAGCTTAAATCAACCCTAAAAATGAGTTGCTTAATTTGTTTAAAACAAGAGAATTTTAAGACAAAGCAACTTCTTTCAAAAACGTCGAGTCCCTAATTAATGTTTTAAATGCGTTACTTGAATAATTGGTGTTAAATAAGAAAAGGTAACCTTGGATATAAACAGCGCAGGATCGATTGTTGCACAGACTCTTAGGGGAGGTCTAATTGCTAAGCAATGGGCGTAGTTGTAAGGGCGAAGATGATAATGATGATGAAAAAATTGAATAAATAAACGACATATAATATAATTATAATATACAAAACACTGGAAATAAATTATATAAAATTGCACATGTAAAGGAGATTGCTCAGCTTCCATACATGTTTGGCCTAAAAACCAATAATCATGAAAAATTGTTTCCTAGATTCGAAATTATACATAAATTACTGTAGAAACGAATATTATTGACGGACACCCCTGAGAACTTCTATAGACCATATACACTGAACATATTAAAATAATAAACAACAAATAAGTTATATAGTAAACTAGGGAAATCAAGCCAAGTACCGAAATTATGGATTAGATTCAGATATATAGAGCATGTACATTAACAGATAGTTGTCTGTTTTTAAAGTTAATGCATAAGAGTAACTTTTAAAATCAGGTGTCATTTCCGGTTTAAAGTACTCTGTGACAGAAACTGTGTGATGATTGTGAATGAGCCACAGATTAGAGAGAATTTTTAAACTCTCGTTAACCAAAGAAAGCTAAGAGATTTAGATTCTATAGCCATATATTCAGTAGCTTCATTATTTTTGTTATGTTTTTAAGATAACCATATTTTAGATTATTAGTGTATTACACCTTAAAATTTTATTTATTTATTAATTTATAGTCAGGGAACGTAGGCCCATAGATAGATACCTTAAAGTTTAACATATATACAGATTATAATGTGTTTATGGAGGTGTTTGGCGAAAAATGTATGGCAATAGACTTTATGATGTCGCCTACCATCTATAATAATTGTCTGAGCACATTTGCATTTAGTGAAAATGATAATATAGTTGTGGATATTAATACCATAGTGTAATAAAAAAATTGATTTATTTTATCGATCTTTACAAAATAGATTTGTTTTTATCTTATATAAACAATTTCGATTAGTCTTTGGCTGAATGTTACTACACCCATAGCCATTAAAAATGATTCGTATGTTTTCCAAACCGGTAAAATTTAAAGTCCTTTTTAAAGTAAATATATTATACAAAGGTGTCCGTTGAAATCTAATGACTGTAAATTAAATTATAAATTACGCCAAGAATTACCGTGTATGTCAATATTTTTTGTGCATTTAGTTTAGGCCAATTTGAGCAATCTCCTTTAATAGATGTCTATGTTTTACTTCGTCGTGGAGATTGGTTTGTTGTTACTGGAATAAATAAAAACTATATAATGTCTATACCTAAACAAATATATCTCGATCGACGAGTTACTTAAATGTTATCAGATCGCCACATATAAAACTTACTTAAGTTTTGAAGTAGGGTCTAGATAGTTTAATTGGTGGAGATAAATAACAACAAATGTGTGTGTTTGAATCCCGCCTAAGAAAAGATGATTTATTTCTAGTGAAAAAGTAATTTCTTTTGATAATTTATTGTCAAGACGGGTAAAAAGTATTTTGATTTCATACTGAAAATTCGCAAATAAATGAATACACAAGGTCAATTATGGAAAAATTATCTAGCATGACTTATCTATAAAACAAATTTATGTTTACTTATCAGAAGCTAGAAGTAAATACGGTCCCTCTGGCATTACTTATTTATTCACATAAGTTTATTACTATCAATAAAGACACCAATCACGAATTGCAAAAGTCATAATTTGTAGCAACTCGGTCAAATATCTTTACCGTCACTGGTAAGCTCAGTTCAGACATAAAATTTAATAAACTTGTGCTCTTTGTGCCAAGACCTGGCTTAAATTACGACTGTTTTCATGCCAAGTGCTAAAGGGGAAGACGAATTACTATTCCGAATAAATTAATAAAAAATCACGTAGGATATGCTGATGCCAAAAATTTTCTACACTTGAACAAAGTTTCACAAATGGAACACTACTCTCTTAAACTAATTTAGTTGACAGTAAATTATTTTAAACTGAATTCTAATTTAATAGCATACCTGTGGTTTGTGTAAATGGAAGGTTTCTGCCAACGTCAACAAAACCCCTGCCTGTGGAAGTGGCGGATTTCTGCGACGCAATATTATAATATAATATTTAGATACATAATAGATAAATAGAAAAAGACGCTGAAAATATTCGACATTGATTTCAGATATAAATGAAGACAATAGGTTCAGTAGAATAAAAAATATAACAGAAGGTTTTGACGGTCATTTTGCTTATTGCAATACATGCATCTACTTCATAATTATATTCATTAATAACTTAAATAATATATGATAAAATTAAAGATAAAGACATGTAGATAAAATTAAAGTGCTCATTAGAACTATTATCAATAAAAGTATTTTGTTCACAGCAACAACTGAAGGAAGTCGGCATCAAGAGGTGGAGCTGCCTAGGATTTCTCAAGAAACATTGCTGATGGACCGACTCAGCCAAGATCATCAGGCTTACCCTCCAGACCTTTTGTCTTTTCCACTCAGAGGCAGTACCCAAATATCTCCGGCTGGTGGCAGCTCATCAGGTCAAGAGAGACTTGGTCTTGCTTCAACAGAAAGTCCACTAAAATCTCCCGGTTACGGAGTAGCTGCGATCAACCCAGCATATTCCAGATTCCAATCCCCTACTGCAGGTGCAACTTCTTTGATCAACAGTAAAGGAATGACTGGATATGTTACTTTACCAAGACGACCGAGAGGAGACATACCAGACAGCAGTTTACGACCCCAAATGTTTTCCACAGTAAACGGAATTGTTCCTTCGTATGACAGTTTCAATTCCAAATTCTTCAACTACGGTGGACATTACTATAGTCTTAATAAAAGTGAAATGGACATTGGTCCTTATGGTAAAATGAGTTCTGGTTTTAATGATTCTGAGGAGCTAGAACCGGCTCCCTCTCCAGCTCCTGGAACTCCTCATGCTACGATACCAAGAAACAGCTTAAGCTCGCCGAATATTCATAATCAGCTTTTGATGCTGCAAGCAATGTCCATGAATGCTCAAGCCAGATTTTCGAAAACGTCTGAACATAGACCTTTAAAAGTCATGCTGTCGGAAAGTGAAAGTCTCCTTAAGAATCCTTCCGATTTGAGAGTTGCCTACAGTGTCAACGTTGTAAGTGGTACATTAGGCAGGACAAAGGCAGTGCACATACCTCCGACTAGAAAAAGGAGTTCTTGTGAAGTGAAAGAACCTTTCTTATTGAACACTGGAGATAATGCAACTCAGGTATAATAATTTATTTAGCATAGTATGACTCAGTGTATTCCATTGTTATTTTAATCTGAATTTGCAAATATTGTCAAATTTTTATATGTACTAAATTTTTTTTATTTGATTTACCGCTTAAGTTTGTATTGACAAGATTGTTATGGGGCTTATTAAAAATGGTAAATTTTTAGGAGAAATATAAAAATTATAAAATTGACTATTGATTAGAAATTATAAAATTGACACGTGATATTGTTATCTTTTGTCCTACTTTTTTTCTTTATTCCATTGATCTTAAAAATGGTCTGCAAAATTGCTGACTCATCGCCTCGACAACGCAAACTTTAAAAGTTTTGCTGTAATTTACTTATAAATAGATTTATTTATCAATAAATACTATTTTGTGTATGATTTAACTGTTTTGCAATATAGAAATATAATACTTTTCGTAACTTTTATGTTTGTAAGTAGATAGTATAAACGTTACTTTATTCAGTTAATTTTGTTCTTCATAATTATTACTATCGGAATGTTGAGCAAAAAAAAATACAAATATATTTTATAGTTACTCAGTGAACAGAATTAATAAAATTAATGCTTAATTATATTCAACAAATATTGGTGCTTGTGAAAATATAAAAAAAATGAATCGGTAATAATCTCCCATGCTTTTTTTCGATTGAAATAGCATTAGTAGAAAAGGTTATAGATTTGTACATAAATAGATACTTTTGTATACACCAGTGTAACCTCTTTTGAAGGAAGTAGAATCTATTGTATAAAAATATAATATAAAATTTTGCTAAATTCCAGTTAAGTTAGTGCTGTTGCTGATTCTATGTGACACCATTAAAAAGTCTAAAATTGTTTTCCAAATGTAAAAATGTAAATACTTTATAAATTTAATGACATAAACAAAATTATAAATAATTTACTGCATTCATATAAGATATGAGAGAGTGTAAGAAGGACCAATAAGGAAGAATGCTATTTAAATGACAGAGGATGTATAATTAATAAAAGGATTTGAAATATCATACGATATTTTATTTAAAACCTTATACGAGATGAGAAAGTACGAAGTTATTAAGTGCGAGGTTTCTGCAAGGCGTTAGCGTAGGTTTTGGCGTAGGCCTTGGACGGCCTGCACCAGCTTCAAACATATAGCCGTTGCATAAGAGCATTTACGGAAAAGTGGTTTTACTCGAATTTCGAAAGTTAGTAACAAAGAACTTTATCTTCTTCTTCATTCAAAATGCAATTATCTTCTCAATTTTAGAAGAAGATTCCATAGTCAAAAGTAAATTGTTTAATTACAATATGCGCGTGCTATTATGGGTGGATGACCCACGCTACACCCTCATGGATTGCTTAGACGAGGGATTTTTGTCCGTGGACTTTTTCTGCATCAAATAATGCACTGGAGGAATCAAAAGTTCGCGTATAAAAAGAACCCCGAACTACCGAGGACAACGAGAGACCGAACAGGACAAAAGTACGCGGGAGTCCCTATTAAAAAATAGAACTCATGTAACTGGCCGCAGCAACACACACGGCGAATTTTAGTCCGCGTTGCGCGCTCGATATAGGGCGGGATGCAAGTTTTGTAAATTGTCAACTTATGCCTAAGTGACATTTTACTACGTTTCCCTATGAGGTGGAATAGCCTACCGCGAATGAATGCTGCGCGATCACGAAATTTGTTGAGGTGAGGTGTAAACATTAATCGGTTATCTAACGTGACACCCAAGTACTTGACCCGGACCTCCCAGGGGATGACCTGGTCAAATAGTTGGATGCGCGGAAGAGAACTCATGTGAGGCGATGTCGTGCTAAAGAGGATCGCGATGTTTTTTTCAGGATTAACCTCGATACGCTATCTACGGAACCAATCGCCATGGGTGGTAGCGGCTGATTGAAGTCTATTACTGACTGTTTCGAGACGTCTATCGTCGTCGGCGAAAAGCGTGAGATCGACTTTAGGAGTCTTGGGCAGGTTGTTCGTAAAGACCGAATAGAGGGTGGGCGACAGTGGCGAGCCCTGAGGGTCGCCGGCACGTATAGGGCGGGGCAAAGAGAGCGTTCCTTCGACGCGATAGCGAAACGAGCGATTCGATAAAAAGTTCCGTATGATAAGCACGAGTCTGTCCGGCACTCTGAGTTTATATAGATTTTAAATTAAGCTATTATGCCAGACTTTGTCGAATGCTTTCTCCACGTCGAAGCAAAGTGCACAAAATTCAATGAAACAGTTGGTCTATGAGTGGCTGAAATTTATTTATTAGTAAACAATGTTCGGCTATTCATCGGTTAACTCATCTAGGTTTGTAAATTACTTTTTTCAGTGTACCCTCAATAGAGTTCTATGGCAGTCTTCGCGCGCATGTGTGACTGTGATGACAATTTTAGGTAGCGGCAAACTTCTTGAGCATAAGCACAGACAAAAAAGCTAGCGCAGTAAACGTGTGTTCTGTGTGTATAATTGCTGTTGCGTAGGCTTCCTTGTCTATGGTCGTCGCTTTAGGAGTTTTCCAGGGTGTATACAAAAGTATGTTAGGTAGCGACGTCGACGCTACTGAGCAAAGACGTCACCGGTGCCGTCGACGTCCGATTCGCCAATCAAGTGTTGCTCGTAAGGGCGCTAACCCTATGCGCATTACACATTACATTATATCACAAACCTCGACATGGATATAAAAAAGCATCTATTGCTTCCACTTTTTCCCCACCTGATGATAAGTGACCACAATAGTCTCCAGAGGTTTGCAATACCAAAGTATCAATCATGTGTTAGGCTTCATATAATCGAGCGAGCAGAGGACAGAAACGCAACTGCAGCCGTCGAGGTACTGACGAACGCCGACGACGTACTGCCAGCTGTCGCCACGTCAGCGGAAGAGGTCAATGGCTACCGTTGAACCTTTGACGGCTGCAGTTGCACTGCTGGACGCTATAAGCCGCTCAAGCTGCTGCAAGGAAGCCTAAGCTACCCTGACTCCTACGGGAAATCTGCGCTGCCCTACCTTTTTATTGCTGGGCAGAAAGTGAAGAAAGAGAATGGCAAGCAGCAGCCAACTTATATATTTTTCGCGTAGACATCAATTATCCATTAACAGACATATTTTTATACACTTTACATCTACGCCAATTCTACAAAAGATAAATTGAGTCGGTGGGGTCTTTTTGTAATTATGTATGTAAATGATTCCACCCCACCTGATGCTAAGTTTTGGTACAGTTTGGACGCGAAGACAGCTGTTACAGCACTTTTCTATCCTACCCTGCAGCCATGCTAAAGTCCGCTGCGCACTATCCATCTTTCTGGATCAGCATGCGGGACACCGCAATACACGTAAAAGAAATGAAGATACAGGATCTCGAGAGGATCCAGCAGATAGATAGTGCATAGATGACTTACCTTTCAAGCCAGAATAAATACTTCCTCACAGCACACTCGTGGTGAACAAAAAAGCCTACTTCAGAACAGTATGACGAAGAAATGAGTCTTCGTTTGTTTGCGGTGGAATAAGTATGATGACAGGGTAAAGTAAATGATATTCTCCTTTAGCCCGTCAGTTAAATAGTCAATAAATAATAGATTTGTATTTTTTTCTTTTGTCAATCAACCAAAAAATTTTTTACCTGTATTTAATATGAATTATCATCATCATCATCAGCCTATTAATGTCCCCACTGCTGGGGTACAGGGCTTTCCTATGGATGGAATAGGGGCATTGGGCCATGACCCGTCACGCGGGCCCAGTGCGGATTGGTGGGTGCTAACGACTGCAGATGCAGCCGGGAACAACGGCTTAACGTGCCTTCCGAAGCACGGAGGAGCTCGAGATAGTAATTTTTGGTCACCCATCCAATGACCGACCACTGCGAAAGATGCTAAATTTCAACGATCGCAGCCAAACGCGCTAACCTCTTGCGCCACCGAGCTCCTATTTAATATGAATATTAGATCTGAAAGAACAAATAATTTATAACTTTTCTTCAAAATCTATAAATAGAAATGATTTTTTTGCTTTTTCATGGCCACGTGACCGAAAATGCCTGGGATCAGTTAAGACTAAAATGACGTTACAAGCTAGTATACTTCCGGCTTACACATTAAAATGACGACATACAAAAAGTGACAATACATTGTATCGTTTGACATTTGAATGACAGTCGTGTGACGTCACACACTAGTGAGACGCCATTATGTCCAGAAAAACGTTTTCGCGGCAACTTGAAAATTGCATTTCTAATTTAGTTTTTTTTAATGAATTACAGAACTGAATTAGAAATATCCATTTTTATGGACTTCATAAACATTAGTAAATAACATCAGATCGTTTTCTAAAACTTCTCAAATACCCTATTTGGATGAACCGTAACTAAGCACATACGGATGCCGTCAAATAGAATATTTAGTAGTAATAATCTTGATTCCGAAGCTATTCCAGACCATTCCAGGAGCTTCAATTTGCCATTAGGCAGAATAAATATTTCAATGAAATCTATTATTCTGGTATTGATAGGTGTTAGCCAAAGCTCAATGTTTAGGGCATTAATTTTGATTGAGTAACGCTCATTGTTAACACATCACTACGCGGCAGTGCCAATTTAAAGTAGGCATTTATAACAGGCTGCCTAAAAAGTTTTCTATTCGAAGACGAAAGATTTTAATGTTGACAGACAAGATTATGCGATGAAATTTCAACACTGCATGATATTGGCACATTAGCAAAATGTAGCTAGCTTAAAGTTTTTCTTTTATGTTTATACAGACAGACGAGCTGGCAGTCCACCTGATGGTAAGTGGTCACTGCCGCCCATGGACACTTGCAGCACCAAGGGTATTTCACATGCGTTGCCGGCTCTGAAGGAAAATGTTTACCCGCGTTTTGAAGACCGTCATAACATAGCTAAGAGGGAAAGCTGCAAGGGGAAGTTCGTTTTAGATCAAAGTGGTACGCAATAAAAAGGAAAGCGCTTAACGCATGGTGCTATCCCTCCGATTCTGTCGGCCTAGGCACGTCTTAGAGTACCCCGACGACGAAATCACCCGATCCAACGCGCCTCCGATACCTCCCACATAGGCCACAAACAGCAACACTACACAGCTAGCATACTTGCACACTAGCTTAGCATTAGGCAGAGACCGCACCCGTAGGATAAGAGTGCAAAGATCCAGTCTTCACACGACACGCTATAACAGGTACAGGTACATACCTGGGCTTTTTTCTCTATCCCCCACGACAACGGCTAACTAGAGCCGAAGTCCGAGTCTCAGAGACGCCCTCTAGTTGAGCCGACGTCCTCAGGTTCGAGTAGCCTAGAGGCTTCAAACGGAGAGGAGACTCCCCCCTTGTGGGGAAATGCCATCCGCCTGGAATATCTCTAGAGGCACTCGCCAATTCTCGGCTTGAGGTCCCTTAAGGATCTCGCCGTCTCCAAACCCGGTGACGCTGTAAAGGTCATCTGCGACCATAAACATACACACTCAAAAATAAAGGACGGTGCTAGAAAGAACATTAGTCAATGAGTTTTGTTTTAGATTATTTTCCAAAATTTGAGAGGTGCAATGAGCAGTTGCCTTAGGTCATAGCATAGCTCATTATAGGCACCCGGTCAGAACCTCTTCGACGCGCGACATCATACACTCCTAGACGCCGCGCTGTCAACCAACTTACGTCTGGTGGGTTGTCAGCAAAAATTACGTAGTGTGGTAGAGATCGTCACTACGTTTACATGTGCGTTTTCACAATGTTTCATTTTATATAAAATGGTATGGTATGTACCGTAAATTAGCTCTAATAGCAATAAGTCGCGCTTGATGAAGAAGAAAATGAAATTCGCAACAAAAAATAAAAAACGCATATTGGGTGAAAAAAGAAAAAGAGAGGGCGAATATTGGACCGTTCGTAGGGGCATTCGTTAGCCGACGAGGATAAGTTTATAAAGTGAATCCTCAAGTATATTCCAAGTGAATAACATTACTATAATTTTAAATATTATATGGGAACCTAACCGAAACCACACGCGGTAGAATATTTTTATATATCACTCAGAGATAGGAATAACTTCGACTTTACTTTGATTTAGTATAACCCTAACATTGTGCGGTCTCCTCAGAAGCCGCGCTCTTACAACCAGCAGCCAGCTCACGACAAACGTGCGATCGAGGCGATCCTACCCCTAGCTCGAACCATTATCGAATTCGAATAGTTTGCGATACCCAAAATGTCATTGTCAAATTTTGTATGAAAACTTGAACAGCAGCGCTATAACGTACGTAAGGAGAACTAAAAATCAGTACACATTTGACAATGACATTTCGCACTCTCAAACTATTCGAAAGTGTACCGTCACGGTACGGAGTAGATGTAGTGAGCGCATCCCCAGAAATCCATACAAAGAAAATCAACCGCAATAGTTGAGGCGGTACTGGTCAGGTGCTGGGTGGGTCTAATGAGCTATGATCTCTCTACATCTCAGCAACCGTTTACAATAAATAACCAATAAAGCTCGATGTTTGGTTATATGATATAACCAAACATGCGAGCTTTATTGGTTATTTTTTGATGTAAACTATATGGGACACTCGCCGTAGGTAAATTAATAGGATTATAACGATGCCGAGCTAATATTATTCAGAAGTGTGTCACATAATATATTCGAGGTCGTTGTCACCAATATTTTTTGGAACGAAGTTCCTTACGGCAGGCTTGGAGGGGATATGGATTTTGCTGCGCGACCGAACTGAAAAAAATGTGATAGTAAAACCGTAAAAAAAATCCGTGGAAAAAAGTGCGTGGAATAAAACCGTTAAATGAGACGTGCGCAGGCGCGACAGTCGCATACACAAGCAAGTTCCTTACGGCAGGCTTGGAGGGGATATGGATTTTGCTGCGCGACCGAACTGAAAAAAATGTGATAGTAAAACCGTAAGAAAAATCCGTGGAAAAAAGTGCGTGGAATAAAACTGTTAAATGAGACGTGCGCAGGCGCGACAGTCGCATACACAAGCGAGTTTGCAATTTGTGTCGATTCTACATTAGCCAAAGGAACTTCGTTCCTACCTGGTGTCCCACGACACCACATCATTTTATTTTTACTATATTTTGTTCTAGAATAGTTTTTTTCCCGTCAATTATATATATAATTCAAGTAAAATCATTTCGCTATTTGGAGGTTCATTTGTATTATACCATATCTAGAAAACTAGTCTAGTTAAATTTTCTTTAGATTTTAAACATCTAGCAGTTTAATGCTTAAAATTAAAATAAACAATTTTTGAATTAGAATATACAATGCCGAAAATGTGTGGTTACATTTTTCACGTTAAATGATCATGACCTTTTATACGACCGACGTACTGTACTACCTTTTTTAGTTCACAGAGTCCACAAAATATAAAAAGTGGGATTAATAATAACATTAATTTCGAGTACTTAATAAATCACGTCCTCCAAATTAAGAGTTGGCTCAAAGCTGTGAAAAGGTTAACAAAGATATATTTTTTTTCATTACCCACACTAAGCTTGTATACAAATTGGTCGCAGTTGAATGCTAAAAGAGTAAAAGAGGTTAAAAGTGGGCTGAATCTGGGGTTTCTTTTATTATATTTCGTTTTTCAGAAGTTTTTACTTAGAAAAAGAAAACTGGTTAAGGAAAACGGAGCTTAAATTTCCGCACGCAAAATATTTCATCAACAGCCCATCCTAGTCCACTGCTGAACATAGGCCTCTCCAAATGCACGCCACTGAATTTGATCTTGGGCTATTCGCATCCAGCTCCTGCCAGCCACCTTGCGCAAATCGTCACTCCACCGTAAGTGAGGACGTCCTACACTACGTTTGCCTAGACGCGGTCTCCACTCCAGAACTCGTCTATCCCAATGGTTATCGGTTCTGCGGCAAATATGGCCAGCCCACTGCCACTTCAACTTAAGCAAAACGTTTAAAAGCAAAAAACCCTATTCCGCAAAAATAATATTCACGGGATTAAATTTGGAGATCGCTAAGATATAAAAGAAATTGGAATGAAATTACCTGTAAAGTGAGCATTTAAATAAAAACCATGAACTACATTAGTCGCAACTTTAGGGAATAGGACAAAGATTAATGCTATTGATATAATTGCCCTCTAACACGAACTAAGAGATAAAGCAGGTGTTTAAATTAACAAAAAGAAAATTTCGTAATACATAAAGTGGTACCTACATAAATTGGTGCTGATCTTCAATTTAATCACAATCATAGACTTTTGTTTAATTTCATTAAAACTTTTCCTTTAGTTTATGGTTTTATAAAATATATTTGTGATACTGTCACTGTTACAAATTTACTGTCAATAGTAAACATACCAAATACGAGAAGACAATTCTTTCTTCTTATTTTCTTATTACTTATAGCAAATCCTACAAATCTAATAACCCAAGCAGACGAGCATTATTAGAGCTACGTTTTCACGGTGACCCCGAACGAACTCAACACAAACCAGGGAGTAACATTTACGTTTATTTAATATGGCTGAGGTAGAAGTAAAAAAGTTAACAGTTTTACGCGGAACTCTAAAAGCTAAAATTACATATTTTGACAAATATCTAAATAAAATTACCGAAAGTGAGAAAAATTCTAACAGTCAGCTTCATAATTTAAAAGATAGGATTGCGAACATAACTAAGGTTTTCTTCGAATTCGAAATTGTTCAGAATAATTTAGATTTGTTGATTGATAATCCGGAAGAAATATCAGCCCAGCGCGAAAATTTTGAAATTTTATATTTTGAGACGGTTTCTAAGGCAAAGGATTTGTGTGACAGATTTAACCAGAGTTCTTCCAATGTAAATGGTAGCAATACACCAAATAGTTATCAATCG